TACGGGGGTTACCTGTAGTTCCAGAGTTATATGGTTTGGGAATATGAACTAAAATTATGGGCATTTGCTTATAGGCCTATATAATTGCGAAGTTTTTCGAATTTTGTAGTTCCTTTACCAAATTTTCGAAAATACTTCAATCAGCATAGAAAATAATATCAAGGTGTTACATATGACGAATAACTCAAGACAGAACTACCAGAAAATCATGTAGCGAGCATCTATGAGAAATTCGTATAAACTGTAATGAAAAACAATAAAAGTTACTTTGTCATTTTCTGCACTAATTTCAACAATAATAAAGATAGGAAAGTTAAGAGTACGTACTTAGCAGAACTATAAAACTGTAAATTATCTTTTTCATGACGTATTTTAATTTTATACAGCAGAAAGCAATGTTACACAGGAATTAAATGTTTGGTTAAATTCCCTTATTTGAATTACTTTAATAAACAGATTTCCTTTTGGTACCAACTGAAAATCGAATATTCAATATTTGAATTTGGTTGTATAATATAATTAAAATTAACTAAACACAAAATTTTTCTCGATTTTTCGTAATGAAAAGAAACAGTAATTGTATTTCTGGTATTCATTGAATTAGTTATGTGTTTCCCTTATAGAGAAATCTATAACATGCATATTTTCGAATTCTGTAAGTCTCAAATACTGTAGATTACTAAGTATTTAAAAATGGTGGATTAAACGTTTAGGTTTCTGTTTACGGCAAAGTGACATTTGGACAATCTGCCGAGGGGGCAATCTCTCAGGAAGTCTTTTGTGGGAAACTGATCCTATTTAGGAGTTACAAACGTGAAGAGAACCATTTGGAGGGGCGCGACCAACCTACCAATGTTCAGTGGTTTTATTCACTCGGCTTCGAGCTTTAGTTACATTAATTTGCCTGGACGTTAGACCATCTTTAAGCAATATTAGTGAAGGAAGTTCGAAGCACAAAATAAAGCTCGAAGCCTTTTTCTGTGACGATGTTTGGTTTCCTCACTTTATTATCATGGTGACATTGCTTCATCCAAAACATCCTGTGGTTGTAGTCTGTGTAATGTGCACTTTATTTACGTCTTACTGTCAAATCTGTTTTCAGTATTCTTATGCCACAACTTTCAAAAGTTTCATTTATTGAGATGTTTTTGCTGGGCTTTACTTTTTCAACCTGGTTTCACCAGTTTTTTTATGGGATTATTATTACTATTATTTATTTATTTATTTAAACATTACTTACATTATTTTACAATTGAATTTGCTATAAATATAAATATTAGTTTAAGCAATTATAAATTACAAAATAGGCCAATGTTTTTCGCATTTCGAACACTTCGGAATAAAAATTGCATTTGTATTTACTCACCTGCTTGTGTTCTAATTATTAAATCAGAACAAACGAAAATCATAAAAACACAGCAACACTTGTTCATACTTTTCACTCTATTATTTGAAACATTCAGTTGTTTCTACACCAAAACTCAATACCGTTGCATGAACTGACGTCACGTTGATGTTACCATTTGCATGACGACATTAAATTTAACAGGTGAATAATTTTCTCCCGATAGTACCTACATGCAATTGTGTTTACATTTTATAAATTAAATTAAAATATTTGTTTTCTATAATTAAAAACATTGATTATCGATAAACTGAAAAAATATTTATTCAAATCTATTCAAACAGGTGATAAATAAAGACTATTTTTCTGACTTTGTATACTTAATTTGCAGAACCAGTTATCCAATATAATAAGTCCTAATAATAGTTGACGTTTTAAGTTTAAATTAAAAAATATTTATTTTCTATATTGAATTTAAATATAACTTTTAAATGGCCGGTCCAATTTTTGATTACTGAAATAATTTTAATTTTTAATGTGTCTCTCTATGACTAACTCATCACGTTTATGTAAAAACAATTTTAATTTCATTGATAATAGCGGAATTATTTTGTTCTCAAAATGGAAACGTTGGCATTGTCAATATAATAAAAATGTATATTTTTCATAAAGGGAAATGACTTCGGCGACTTTGGATGCACCCGTGTTTCGATTTCGGATATGAAACTCTCCTTTTTACATTTTGGTACCTTCAGTCTTATTGCTATTTCTGGAAAACAGCACTGGACATTTGTTGTGTTCATAAAAGGACCCAAAATTGATGGACTGTCAATGGAATTGTATGCTAAATATCGTGGAAATTTCTAATACGGAAAAATTTTTAATTTTTCAGATTAATTAAACGCGAACATTTGCTTATCGTACACTTATAAATGTAATTATTGAAAGCTTTACTTTAGTAACTATTATTACTCTGTTCCTCAAGATTTCTTCTACCACGTCATTTCATAGAACACAAACATTTTTGCATTTATTTAATTCTTTATTAGGTAAATATTCAAGAATGTTTTTAACTATGTGATGAATATTTTCTAATACAAAGCCGGATTGAAGCTGACAGAAAGAAGACGGTGTTCGAGATTCATTACAATTGTTCTTTGCCATTTTCTTCATAATAATGATAATTTTTACTAGAAGATAAAGTAAATATGTTTAGTATTATGTTATGTACAACACTGTATCGTACGTAAAGAATATTCATGAAACAAAATTTAATTATAACGAAGAATACAAAAATGTCTTCAGATCGTCCTTTTCACTACCGTTAAAATTAAAAAAAAAAAAAACACAAATCTTCACTTACAGAGACGACCTTTCATTTGAGGCTATGCCTCTGTAAAATAAATGTAAATTGGTTTTAATTTTAAATTTAGAACTGTTAAAATTTTCTTCAAATAGAAAAATCATGTGATATTAAACAGACGTCATTGCTGATCACCTGATTCCTCCAAAGTGCAGCCAGAAAAGAATGAATTCTTCCGCCAGAAAATAAGTCCACGGAAACGCCTCAGCGAGGTCACGTGATACCATTTGTAAGCGTCCGCCTGTAGCGTGTTACTCCGCGATGTAAACAAGGTTAGGCAATGGCGGTTTCCACTGTGCCTAGTCGATAAGTAATCCGATGAGTTTTCGCTTATATCTCTTTTTATGTGCGACGCCCCCAAAAATTACTATTGTTTAGGACACCTCTATATTAGTGAGGTCTTTTACAATATCAAAATTAGGAGAAAGCGCGTGATGTATTAAAAATAGAAAATTTTATAGTATTTCCTTACTTCAAACTTTTTTCAAGCTGACTCTCGCAAAGGAATTTGAAATTCAAAAAGTAATTAAGTGGCGCCGTCTGTAATTCAAAATACAAAAAAAAAAACAATATTTTTATTACTTTTTCAAAAACGAAATATTTGAGCATAAAATTTCAAATGATATTTTACTTGAAAGTTGTTTAATATGTCATCTGCATTGATTGATAAAAGTAAAATATAATAAAACTTAAAATAACCAACATTTTAATTAAACGCTACATACAGGTAATCCCCGTATAACACGATAGTTACGTTTCAAAAAATTGCCGTGTTTTGCGAATCCGTGTTATACGAAACAAAGAACTAGTACGAAAAGGAGGGTTAGGTTCCAAAAATTATAAAAACATGCTATTATATTTTCATAATTAAGATAAATATCTTTATTAAAATTTTTTTAGGTGATACGTATTAATATAAATTAAACAGTGTTTTCTTCGTCATCACTAAAAGCACTATTAACCGAGATCGTTTTCTTTTCGGCAAGTTATCCTTATCCTCTGAGCATTTTTCTGCATTATTTTCAGATTCATGCTTTACCTTTTGTAAAAAGTATGTAATTTTAGATTGCTTGCTTCTAGTTAAAAGATCTTTATTAATTTTCTTATATGGTGCTAAGCACTTATGGAATAAGGGAAAAACATCTGGCAACAACAGAAGCAGAAGCATCGAGATCTGGCAAAATTGAAACAAGTTTCGAGAAGGACAAAAAGGTATGGACAAAAGGCGAGAAAAGAAAATTTACATACTAAAGTACTAACAGTTCACGAAAATAATAATTTTTGTGAACTATTAATACTTAAGAATGTAAAAATTTATTACATTTTATGTTGTACGAGGGTTTTACCCATTTCTCGAACCGTGTTAGAGTGAATCCGTGCTATAGAAGTGCCGTGTTATACAGGGTTTACCTGTATTTACACCTGTTAATTGCGCAAAAATAGTTACAAAAAAATTCTGATTTTATTATCAAAGATTATTTAATTTGATGATGATAAAATACAAATTAACAGTATTTAAGATAATTATCATTATCTTATTTAAAATGCGCGCACCTAATTAAAAATATGTATTTATTGGTGTTAAAAGATGTAACAAAGACAATATTAACTTTCAATACACACAAATAAAAAATTTCAGCGAGAAAACGGGGAGAACAAAGTTTAATCAAAATCGGTCCATTAAATTTTGGGAACAAACTCAAATCTATAAGCCCATAGAAGGTGTGCTTGCGACCGCAAAACATACATCGCATGACAAAGTTCTTATATCTCGAAAACGAAATCATGGATCCTTTTTTTAAAAATCGTATTCTTGGATTCCTCATCGCAATTAATTGAAAATGGTAAAATTTAATCAAAATCGATGGAATAGGTTTTGAGATCAAACGCAATTCTGTAAGCCACATAGAACAGGCTTCGCTATCGCTCCGCCTCAATAAATGCGCTTCAATATCGAAAATTCGATTTTTACATTTATTGTAATCAAAAAATACAATCGGATTACCTTTCGTTTTGTAGTTAATTTTAGCCTTTTTCTTTAATTTCTGCATTTGAATATTTTAATTTTTGTCATTCTTTTAAATTTTCTAAACATTTATACGTAGTATAAATGATTAGAAAATATTTAAATTGAAATTTTTTATTTGATGACATATGCAGCAACTTTTAAGTAAAATGTCATTTGAAATTTTATGTCAATAATTTCGTTTTTGAAAAAAGTAATTAAAAATATTACTGATTTTTTTTGTGTGTGTTTTGAATTACAGACGGCGCCACTTAATTACTTTTTAAATTTCAGATTCAGTTACGTGAGTCCGCTTAAAAGACGTTTGGGGTAACGATATACATTAATTTTAAATAAAGCATTAATTAGAAAAGGAAATCGGCCGATGATTTTTGGAAGAGGAAAAAGGTTGGTAGAGATAACGACAAAGAGATTTTTTGGTGTTTTGCAATTTGGGATGAAATTTAAATTTATGAAATAACCGTAAGGAATATTAAAAGTTTCTGACGTTTCTTCATTAATTTGTTGATTAGTTTAAAGAAAACGTAAGTACATTTCTCTTTGTTTTGAAAGATTCGAATACAGATTATAAAAAACTAGCAACGAGTTGCTTAAGTTTCTGGCTATAATAGGTTCCGCCATCTGTTATGATATTTTATTTAAAAACTTTATATTTTTGATAATTATAAAATGGCAAAAATCTTAATTTTTAGGGTAGGGATGGCTTTTATAAAAATAAAAAAAAATTCTCGGTTTTTCCTCGTTATTAATATTTACGTTATTAAGTCTTGACCCTACTGAAAATATACACGATCCCTTTATCTCCCCAACCCCACGACCTTTAATCACGATAATTTCATAGCGTCACTCCCCTAGGAAACAAATCTTCCTGTAAAATATCGGAAATTTCATAAATGATATAACACGTTCCTACAAAATACATTGCAAGATATTTTATGCAAGGTATAATACGTCAACGTACGGTACAGTACAGTAATACCCCGAACTTACGCGATAGGTGGGTCCGAGCGGTAACCGCGTAAGTCGAATTCGCGTAAGTCGGGGTATAATTTCGCATATAAATACATATAAATAATTTTTAATTGGAGCCGGAGACTAAAGAAAACAATAATTTAGAAAAAAATGTTTAATAAAATCTTAGATAATACATATGTAATTAGGCCTATATTATTTTACAATTTTTCACATTTACTTGATTATTACGCCATAATTTTAACATTGTTTCCATCTCAGAGATAATACTGTGACATTTACGAATGATGCTCAAATTTACAGATTGAGCATTTTTCACAGCTTCGAGAATTTTTTCTTTGCCTTTTATAATTGTTCTGATCAACAATTCCGGTAGATCAAATTTCTTTGCCAATTCACAAATTTTCATTTTTGTATCGAAGTCTTTAATAATGGGTACGTTCGAAAAGTCTAACGAAATAGGAATAACGATGACGTCATTGTCGTTTAATTCGTTCGACTTTACGAACATATCCAATGTTAACTTTACATTCCAAAGATAAAGTTTTTCTTTTCTTGTTTGATGCAGAAGAATTAGTTTGGATGACATAGTACAGTCTCTCGAGTCTCCGTAGATATAACAAATACAGAAATAAATAACACAAAATAAATTGTAGCTATGTGTGGATTCTGCGCGACACATCCGAACACGTAAGCCGAACAATAGTGTGGGGGGAGTGAGTAATTAAGGGTTGCGTGGCGCTCAAACAAAAGACGATTCGACGAGATTTGAAAATCGCGTAACTCCGGGTTCGCGTAAGTCGGGGTATTACTGTACTGTACTGTACATCAATAGGTTAAGGTGCGTATAATCAACTTTTCCAGAAAAATGGGAAAAGAAGATGGATATTTGAAATAATCTGGCACGTTTGCTTGCCTTTTTACAATGCAAAATATTCCCCGGCTATAAGCCCTTTTTGTCTTTACATAACTATTTTTCTTCCAGCCCGCCTTCTTGCTTAAATATGAAGGACCCGTCATACATCATTGATAAGGCGTTTAAATTGTAGTGTTGTTAATTATTTTATGAAAAAAAATAATTCTTACAATTTTATAATATTCTTTGCATACACAATTAAATCTCCGACCTAATATGACAGATTAACATTCAAATATAAATTTTCCTCAGTGAATTCGTTTCTCCACTCACTCAGCCAATGGCTTGTAATTCTGTTCAACATAATAATTATTTAGAATAGATTAGAAAGGATTTATTTCTTCTGACCAATACCGAAATAAAACGACAATTTTTGAGTTTTATGCTTATAGATAATAGGTGAATTCTTAAGATATAGAAATTAGAAATTTTAGAATTTTAAACATTAGGTGACGCCACTTATTTTTTTAAAAATTGACAGTTGAATTATGTTGAAGTAGTGTGACAGTAATGTATATTTTTATTGTAACTATTAAATAGATTCAAATTTATTTGAGGTAGCGAACATTTTAGGAAGAAATAGAAGGAAACATCGGTACAATAAGACGATTGGGATCTTATCAGAGCTGTAGAGCATGCCTATAGGAGCAAAAAAGTCAAAGGAACCATACCTCTACAAGCGACCCTTCGCGAGATACAGCATTCCAAAATCAGGTCGTGTTGCTCCGCTAAGACTATTTAGCCCAGTGAATATGCCGGCTTTGAGTACTCAATTTGACTGTTCGTGGAATATTTAATTAATGTTATATCGTTTTAAGCGGTGTGGGGACTCGTCCCGAAGCGCACGACTACATGCAGAGCATGGAGAATGGGCAGTATACTAATACATGTTAAAAATTCACCTTTGGAGGTGTATCTCGATAGGTCTCGAGGTTCCTTGGACTTTTTAGCTGGTGTAGGGGATCTACAATTATGGGGGTCCGAAATCACACCACTCATTCAGAGCTTGAATCATAGTCTTTGAATCATGGTCTTAGTCTTTCAGTTTCTGTTGCACTTTCATGAGTAACACAAAATGAATGGTAGCGGATAGAGATCTCTTCGACAGAGATGATTGCCTTTTCATCATCTCTTCGAATTTGTCTTTTTGATTTCGAATCAATAGTGTTGATTGAAGAAGAAAATCTCGATAATGATTACATTGGAATGAAAAAACAAAGTCAGATAACTTTTTACGAAACAGAACAGGAGATTTTTCTGAAAACATTTCTGATTATATAAAATGAAATTTATGAACTTGACGTGAGCAGTACAGTATTGTAAGTCCTTGATGTTTCTTTGTTGAGACTAGTTTCTTCATAACTGTAGACAAAATGTAAGTAGATACTTCTTTACTGAAGATATTTTAAAAACATTTTTCATGAAAACGTTTCGGTTTTTATAAGTTTTAATTCAAGGAAAGATGTAAAACATGGTATATAGAAAGGTGTATTCTTTATAAACTACAATATTACTTGGTCTACTTTTATTCTAAACATCGCTTCTAAAATACTTCGGACGCTGTAATTAATGACACTTTACGAATTCGGTTAATATGTATAAATACATATCCTTTAATAAAAGTTAATTTGGATTCGTTTCTTTTTCAGATTTCAAGTGAAGATGTAATTTTCTGGTGTAAAACGTCGAAGAAAGAATCTGTAGAATTATTTGTTTTAAATTTGAATTATTTAACTAGAGTTAGAAAATAATGTGTGCCGTTATTCCCGTATCTTATTTAACAGAGAACTTTTTATTATTTTCAGATCCATTTTCGGCCAATAGAGGACATTTCTGTGTAATGAGTGGAGAATTGTTTCCAAGAAAACAGAAGAGTTGAAGGATGTATTTATCTTCTTTATGGAATACTGAAATTGAAGTCACTCGTAAAAAGATACATGAGTACATCAATAAGAAGAAGAATTTTATGTAAATGAAGGGAAACAGAAGTTTAAATGAAGATGTTTTAAAATTATATTTTATTTTGTAAAATGCACTTTATATAAATTGTTTTGAGAAATTATATGTATAAATAACATTAATTTTGATTGTGATTATGCATGTTAATATTTTGTGAGCATTGGTGTAAGCAGTTATTGTATATGCTGTAAAGATATCATTGAATTAGTTTTAAGCTTTAAATTTTAGTTTAAGAAAACTTATGAGGAAGATACAAATTACTTTTCTATCTGCGCACAAAATTTTAAAAATACTGCGCTTAAATCTACATTTTAATATATTTGATTGACAATAAGTTTAACAGTTGCTTTCAGGCGTTTTTTTTATGTTTTCATTTATCGTATTTTTCATGTTTTACAGATTTATCTCATCGTAAAACAAAGAATGAGAAGTATCGATGTGAAAGTTGCAAGAAAGAATTCATTTCGAAGATTGGATTTAAATGTCATCAGAGGATTCACACTGGAGAAGGACTTGTCTTGCAAATACTGTAATCGTCAGTTCAACCATTCCACCAATCTATTTAATCACGTCAAGATTCATACCGGAGAGAAACCATTTACCTGTAATCATTGCAAAAAACGTTTTACACAAAAACAGCATCTGATACAACATCTGCGAACTCATACAGGAGAGAAGCCTTTCACTTGTGACCATTGTAAACAAAGTTTTTCAGCTAAAAGAACTCTGATCAAACATTTGCAAATTCATTCAAGAGAAAAACCAATGTAATTACTGTTTTCAAAAATTTTCCGTTAAATGTAATTTAAATCTTCATATTATTAGCATTAAAATGTATATCGTAATTTAGCAGTTACAATTGAGAAAATTTCATATTCATTAAAAATAAACAATAATTAATAATTAGTGTATTTTGCTCTTTCGTATACATTCGACCCCCCTATAACGAAATCCGTTCTTTATGAATCAATTTTGTACTAGTTCTTGCCAATCACAGCCCGACACGTGTGAAGTTTACGGACTACGGCTGTTTGAAAGGTTTTCTTCCATAAAATTAATCGATTCTAGACTAATTCGACTAAACATTTCCAAAATATGTATAATTTTTTTTGGGAATAATCCGTATAAACTATGCTATAAACAAAAAATTGTAGGATTACTTACCGAGTGTGCACCGTTCGACGTCGCCATTGCTCAAGCTTGTTTTCGTCGCGGAGCAGCGCACCAAACGGCGGGCGATTTCTGATAAGTTATTTTTCTGTGAAAACTTCGTTGAACTTTGGAGACATCATTAATATAAATAATTTT